GAGATATTTAAATTTCCTTGCCTGTTCGTTTCGTAGGGCAACCAGTAGCAGCCTCACTCCATGCTATCGGTACTTTTCCATGACAAACAGCTGGAGGAATGGTCCCAACTTGTACTTTATATTGTGAGTTTGGATTTGTTGAAAACTCATATTCAAAAGTCATATTTAAATGCTTTTCCTGAGTAGCGGGAGCATCGTTGGTTCTCGAATATAATGAGTTTTTCGCTCTTTCGTCGATTTTTATCTGAAATAACATGAATATCCATATTCTTATTATCCCGTCAAATTATGACTAATAGAATAAGTATTGATTAGGACACTCACAGCATAACCATAAATATTTCCTCTGTATTGTTGATTCCATTTAATCTTACAACCCTTTTCAGTATTTGAAAGCATGATACTGTTTGGTGGACCAGACGTTCCCTGGCTGGTTGTTTCAACATACTTTCGAAAATATTTTTTTTTATTCAAGCATCCTTCAATCTCTGGTATTACCTAAAATCAATGAGTTGTTTTCAGATTTTTTTTCATCTTCGCAAAAGCTTCTGGTTTCGACCTACCTGTATTTCATACTGTGTGTTCTTTTGCAGTTTCATTACTTCATAGGGCCCTTGTTCCTCAGAAGATCTATGATTAAAACAGATAGGTTTATAAAAATTAAAATCAATAATGAAGACAACTCAAATAGCATCAATCAAAAGAACTATCTCACCTGCCTTCCCCGTTAACTTTTATTGTATATTTTAGTGATTCGGAGTTTTCGAGTTTGTTCCAATCTACTGTCAACTTATTTCCGTCACAGATATCTTTAGAAACGTTCACCGCATTTTGCTTTGTTTTATCTTTGATGAAGAATCAATTAACACAGATGGCATTTTTGAGTCATAATCAATACAAAAACAATTACCAGTAACGGTTATTTTTGTGCAATCCAGAACATTTGTTAATGTAGAACCATTATACAGTATTCCTTTCCCACTAATGTACGTGTCTTGCGTTATATCTTTTAGAGTGTATATATCTCTATGGAAAAACAGATAAACAAATAAGCCGAAGGAATTTTCAGCAAAAAAAAAAACTGACAATGCACATGGAGTAGTTAAAATACTTTAAAATTGACCCATCTGTAGAATCTTCTCCATTTACGGAAAATGTTTTGTTTAGTTTTCCGTTTATGAATAGTTGAAAGTCAGCTTTTCCCGCAATATTTGTTACCACTTCGAAGTCTATTGTAATTGACCCGCCTTCTGTCGTTTGATATTCGTCTTTAGAAAATTTAACAGTTAACGGACCTGTGAAATATTATGAGTTTGTTGAAATATATAATTTGAGCGGCAATAATGAGTAAGACTGATGGTAAATTTGTTGTTTCTCACCATTCTGGCAATGGCGTCCGAAAAACATTGGTGGACAATTGCATTTGTAGCTACAGCCGTACACTACGCATTCCCCATTCACACAATGATTTGGAGAACAAGGACTCTTATTACTTCCTGCGAATGTAAAAATTTATCAATTTACTACTGGTTAGATACAGATTATCGTTTCGACGTGTTCAACAAATTTCAGAATGGAATGTTATCGAAGAAGAATTGACAAACATTTTGATTTCTTGTATACGCATATATCTTATTTAGACTCAGCTAAACGGAAAAGAAAGAAGATACCGCACTTGATTGTTCTGGCTACATTGAATCACACTGTTCATATCATTGACTTCATATTCAGTGCCCAGACTCAAAAATTAAATAAGAATATATAGCGATATTCAGTTTCTTAAAATTACGCCTTTTTGTGCGCCGAGAGTGGACCGTGCCAAACTAAAAATATATTGCAATCTATAAAAAGCTATAGAATGAATCCGGTCTTCTGACGATTTATTTGCGTTATTTTAAAAATATGAACACATTTTTATATTTATGCAATTATAAATTTGTGAAGATTTACTGAAGATTAATTTCTAAAAAATTACAATATACTATAATTTTTTTTTTCGATGATATACTTCCACATCTTGAACGTATTTCATTTCGTCTAACATACCGTTATCATCCCACATTTCGCATATATATTTGCGATTACAATAGATTGATACCGTTCTTTGATAATAATTTAATACCGCACAGTTCATGGTTGTACTCGTGCTGCCTGAAATTTAAAAATTCTTAGAATTAAACTATTGCAATATTCAAAAATATGCAATATAACTCTAAGACAACGATCTGCTCGGCACTCACTGTATGGATCACCATCGCCCCAAGTCCATTTCCCTTTATTTCTCCATGCGTTAATCAAAAATGTTTCGGTGGATCTCATTTCATCGTAAAGAAATTTGGCTTGTTTCGCTGTCTTAGGCATGGCTAACTCGTATCCCGGGCCAGCCCGATCTTTGCACGCAGCTGCAGCTTTTTGTCTACCATTGACTGAATCATCTGATATCAAGTATTTACAGTTTTCATTCTTCAATATTTTCACTAAAATTTAACAAAATGATTTGGAACATATATTCATTTAGAGGCATTTTAGTGTTACATACTATACTCAATGGAAAAAAAAACTTTGTATAATCAGAGTGCGGGAATATATTATGCCGTTGTGTGAACACTTGCTTGTGAAGACAACCAGAATTATGCTCGCGTATCAGCGTAATACTTCTCAAAATCAGCTAAATTTGGGTAAAACGGGCCTATAGCGAATATCGAGTAAATATGAAAAATGTAAAAAGGAGCTATTTGAAGACACTTCCATTCCTTGCTATAGACAATTTGAAAGCGACCCAGTATAGACGAAAGCGATATTTTGTTACAACGACAGCATTCACAACCTCATCCATGTTGACAACGATTAAAAAAAATTAATCACAGATTTATTTTATATATATTTAAACATTTATAAAAATATAAAAAATGACTTGCGTTGACAACTTCCGACCGTTGATATTTTAGGACTCCAGCTTGCACTTTCTCCCTCTTGTCGGCATCTGATAGTTTTGGAAGTTACTCCATTTTGAAATTCATATCTATTACTGCATTCAAGAACGCAAGTCGTTCCAGCATTTCCTCGGCATGTTTTTGTCAGATATGTCGGTTTCTTCGAATATTTATTTCCCGGTTCGGGTATTTTGAGCGTCTCACAGGTTATACCTAGAAAAGGGAAATATATGAATTCAATTATATACGATTTAGACATATACATTATTTATTTTATTAATATTATCGCAGAAAAATTAATTTTATATTCTTGTGAATATATATCAAATCAAACAATATTTTAGGAGGCCATCATCACTCTGGCAACGTGTTTGCTGTGCAGATGAAATATTGAAATACCCCTAAATATTTTGCGGTAGGTTGTTCAGCTTGTACAAATACAAAATTGTTCGAGCAAATCACTATATAATTAATTAATATACACTTACGGACGCATCTTTCATTGTTTAATTTTTTCCATTGAGCTGTATCATCTGGACTGGGCTTTACACATGTCACCTGGTTTGCATCTCCTTCAAATTTATATCCACTCGCACACTGTAACTTGCATACTGATCCCGAGGGTGTTGTTGCTTGTGCATTGGTACTTGTACTTTTCACCATTATTAAACCAATAACCCTCACAAGTTATTTCTGCGTGAACAAATATTGCACTTCATTGTAATACATTTTGATATTATCAATACGATTTTTATTATTATTAGTGATGCTTTTATCAAAGATTACGTTTGTCTCATACTCGAAACGCCAGTCTCGACGCGACAAGGAATTTATAATAAATGTATCTATCTTATAAATATTTCGAAAATTCGTGTTTAATTTTAAATTAGGCAGCCTATTCAATTGAAAAAACGTAATAAGTGAATTAGGCAGCGATCCCATACTATGGGTCGCGACCAACTGGTGGGTCGCAAAAGGAATCTTAGTGGGTCGTGGAAAGATGTAGGAAGCTTTGGTTAATTATACTGGTTATTAGGATCGGTGTCAACTCGAATACGTAAATCTTCAAAAAAATCAAAGAAATTAAATTGAATTTAAATTCTAATCTGTGAAAGTTTCCTATTTACGATCTTCTCAAAGGAACAAAAATTTGCTACTCAAAGAATGACCATGTGTTTTTTTTTGGGCATAGCTGTTTTGTACACTGTACAGCACTTCTTACCGTGTTTTCCCGAAATTTAGACAGAATTTAGATCCATTTTCTTTTGAAGAATAACACTATGGTTTTTTTGGAAGAAGTGTTTTGCTTTCATTTATCAAAAATGAAATTACATTGTAGAAAATTCCAAGATTTTTTACTAAACATTATATAAAAATCGACATCCATTGTTTTAATTTGTATTTCCTATAAAAAATCAAGTGACAAATATCATAATTGTGATATCACACAATCTTGAATAGTGGTGTGACCTTCACCTTACCTCAGGCCAATAAACCTTTCTCCTCCCACACATTTTAAAATTAATTTTAAGGGTAGGGTTTAATAAAAATCATTTTGAAAATTCAAATTATTATCTTATTTTCAGACCAGGTCTTATTTTCGAGGAAACACGGTAGTTTTGCGATGATTAGCCATTGCTGTGTTCTGTGTTATGTCAAAAGTTTGGGAACCACTGAATTAGAGTGTTATTATATTCAAATATATTCCAAATTAGAATATTAATATACAAATATTTGACGATGTAGCATAGTTAGTGCTCAAACGCAACCTAATAAAATCATACGTCTTTGACCTTACTCTAGAAATACATATGGAAATATTACAAGCTAATGTTGTCTAGATTTTTGAATTCGTTTATGTCTAAAACAACTATGGATAAAACGTCGCTAAGATTATGTAGTTTTGATTAAAAGTTTGGACATTTCCATGTTGCGAGATGTTTTAAAACAAATAGCTATTATTCACGTTAGTTCTTGGAAAATGTAAGTTGCTTTTAATGTTCATATGTATATAGATACTTCAAATATGAATATTTTGATTCGAGCTTCGTTGGCAAATTATATCTATCACTTCTTTTTGGAAGACTTACGAGCGCATTTTGTATTCCCGATTGATGACCATTTAGCGGGATTCGTGGTTATTTTTCGGCATGTTGCGGTTTTAGTTGTTCCTTTAAGTTCATATCCTTCTGCGCAACTCAGTGTACATTTTGAATTCACTGGTTCATTGGCACAAAGTTCAACAGAGCGGGTTCCGTCGTCAAACGATAAACCGGGACATGTAATTTCTGTAAGTAATGATTAAACACTTTTAACAATATAGCAACTTCTATAATATTTTTAAGAAAGAGAAGGCATATTCAAAAACAATTTTATATGAAACAAAGCATGACAAATTAGAAAAAAAGACTTGCGTTGACAACTTCCAACTGTTGATATATCAGGACTCCAACTTGCACTTTCCCCGTATTGTTGGCATGTGATAGTTTTGTAAGTTCTTCCATTTTGAAATTCATATTCATCGCTGCATTTAATACGGCACGTCTTTCCAGCATTTCTTGAGCATGTACTTGTCGAATACGTCGGCTTCTTCAAATTTTGTGAGTCTGGTATTAAGAGCGGCTCACAAGTAATAGCTAGAAAAGAGAAATAGGCCTCCTTGTATTCAGTTTTGTACTGCTCTGACAAACATTATTAAGTTTATTTATGATATCACAAGGAAATTAATTCTTATATTTTAATAAATGTGAATCAACACAAATCAAACAAAATTTCGCTGTGTTATTATCACTTTTGCAACGTGTTTACTAACTTTACTATGCACATTAATTTTTAAAATATCACTAAATAATTTGTGGGAGGTTGCTTAGTGTCTACAAATTTAAGATTGGTCATTTAGATATCTATATATATGCTAAATACTTACGGACACATCTTGCATTGCTTAGTTAGCAAATTATTCAATTAGAAAATGATTATTTTAAAGTGATAAGTGACTTAGAATATCATTATATTCAGATATATTCAAAATTAGAGTATTAATATATAAATATTTGGTAATAGGCATAATTAGTACTCAAATGCAACCTAATAAAATGACCGCTAATTCTTTGACCTTGGAAATACATATAAAAAATATTAAAAGCTACTGTTGACTGAAATTGCGGATTCGTTTATGTCTAAGACAACAATGGATAAAACGTCGCCAAGATTATGTAGTGTTGATTACATGTTTGGTCATTTCCATGATATGAGCTGTTTCAAAACAAATAGCTATTATTTACGTTAGTTCTTGAAAAATGTAATTTACTTATAATATTTATATGTACAGTATATATATACTTCAAATATGAATATTTTGATTCGAGCGTTGTCGGCAAAGCGTATTTATAACTTCTTTTTAGAAGACTTACGGATGCATTTTGTATTCCCGATTGACCATGTAGCGGCGGAATTCGTTTCTTTCTCGCATATTGCTGTTTTCGTTGTTCCTCCAACTTCATGTTTAAATCCTGCTGCGCAACTCAATGTACATTCTGAACCGACTGGTTCGTTGGCACAAAGTCCAACAGAGCTGGATCCGTCGTTAAATGATAAACTAGGACACGTAATTTCTGTAAGTAAAGTAAAAAATAATAATTTAATATTGACTGAGGCCGAGGTTCTCTAACTTTTGGTGTCATGGAGCCCGTGAAGAGGTTGACTATATCTTAAGGAACCCCACGATAAATTTTAGAATTGTTACTTACCGATTAATATTCCATAGTAAATTAAAATTACTTTACTTAATTAAATTAAATGCTAAACCTTTTAATAGGGCCAATACAAGCCATGAATAAATCTGAATTTCACACATGAATTATGTATAGTAAGGCTATAAATTTGACACTTGACAAACATATTAATAAACTCGGGGTCGGAACCACCTTCTAATATTTTTTTTTTTAAAAGTTGCTATAAGTGCGTGGATTACATTTTGTCGAAATCGCCGATTGTTTTTGTCAGCGTGACGTGTTTTTAGATCGTAAACATCTTTACGTCGGTGTTTATTCTCTTTTATTCTTCGGCATTTCTTGATTGAAAAGCGGCATTATTAAATATTAAACTTAAAATTTAGGACGGAAGATAACGCCATAAGTTTTGTTTTAACAGATCTTAACGACGCATTTTGTCCAAGTCTAGGGATTTTTCAAACAGTGTAAAAGGAGTCAGAGTGACACATCTACGATAGGGCGGAGTCAGTGTTGCAAGAGCGGCTCAAATTTGTCGAATTCGCTAAATCGCTGTAATCTGCCACACAATCAGTCAAGGTTACGATGATCATTGGATCGGGACGGGCATAAATATCTTAATCAAACTACCGGTAGTAAGTACCGTCTTCTGTGCACAGTACTGTTTCGTTCAAAATGGCTGTACTATTTGATTTTTTTGTATTAAATAGGTTGAAGAAAAATGGATGTGAAAACTTGCCAAACGCTTCTTATTTGCAATAACTTTTTCAAAACGCCACAAATAACGATAAAGGCTCATACACACCTTCTCAAGCTGTAGTTCAGTGGTTGGCGGAGTAAGACGCAACCGATAACGTAACGCCATTACGTGAACGACCCTGCTACGAAACCACCTTGCGAAAATTGAAATGCGATCGAATAAATGAATTTGTATAATCTTGAAAAACTCTATCACTTCAACCGTAAAAATAAAGCTTGATAAGCATAAATTATGAACAGTATTAACCGTAACAATGCCTTCATTTTATGAGAAAAATGTCAATACATGAACTTGAAATCCATATCATGGCGTCATGACAGATTACTTGAGGAGTTTTTGCATCAGGGGACTATTACAATTAACATAGGCCAGGCTAGCCTGTCTCATCCGCCGTCGATGTTAGCATATTCTTCATTATCGCAACCCACTCGTTTTGCCGAATGCTGCCATTCTTCTAATTGATTTTATAGTAGGCTTGTGAGCTAATTTTCATGATTTTCCTTACTCAAAACGTCTCTTTGTTATCTCGGATAAACATTCCGGTTAAAATCTTTTGACTTTTGTGGAAATACGGAAGTCGCGATAAATGTACGCAATAGAAGTAAAAGTCAAAATAGGAATTTTTACTCACATTTTTAAAATTATAATTCCGGCTGCGTGTACAGCTGCCCGAATGCAACGTTTTGGCGTAGTTTCGCGGCGATGTAAGGTGTATTTCAATAAAAAAAATACAAAAAATACAAAAAAAAATTCGATTTAAAACAAGCCCTTGTTTTAAAACACGATGTTTTTTTTTAGAATTGATAATAAACAAATCCCTACTCATGGGGTTTAACGTCGACCTTGGGAATTTTGTATTGGCGATATCTTGCTCAAAAATAATCTTGAGTTCTGAAAGAACAAATCAATTTGATGAATTCCAAGATCTATTTATAGTTGGCAGTTAAGCACGTATTTTTTGTTATTTTAGAAAAGTAATCTTACATTTTAGTCAATTAAAGAGTCCAGCTGCACACTAACACAAATGTATTTCTGTAACGTTTCGTCTGACCAGAGTCAGACTTTGTCTGAGGAAGTCTGACTCTGGTCAGACGAAACGTTACAGAAATACATTTGTGTCAGTGTGCAGCTGGACTCTTTAATTGGATAGAATAGTCATGTTTATTCCAGCTACAGTATCCTTGCAGTATACGCATACGGATCCACTAGCATAAAGGCATAGAAAAAAGATTGGAAGTTAATCTCGCGCAACCCAACTTAAATTTACATTTTAGTAATCGTAATAATAATTTTCCACTTAAAGGCGAGTAACGATGAACACAATTAAATTATTATAACAAGACATTTTAAATGCTCGTACCGGCCATGGATTGAATACTTTACGCAGCATAAAACCTTATATCCACGGAAAAAGTCTTTTCTTAATAACGAGTATCCTAATCGAGTCTTGAAAAAGTATTTTTTTTTTTGACGAGTAGCCTATCTCCCATCATCTTATTCGGTTTATTTTTGATAATCAAATTTTCTAGTTTATTTGAAATCTGAAAATACGAAACCTTCCTCCGTAATGAAAACCTGCCTTTGCCATCGACTCTATAACTTCATTACTTATACTAAACTATGATATGTGAAGGATATTCCGTATTGAACATAAAAAATTTCGATGCTCTACATTTGGTTCTAATACTTTCTTTTCATTTGTAGGGCATGGATAAACTATAGCTTCACCTGGTTTTATCGCAAATGTTGAAAATACACCACATTTCAATTCTGTGAACGATTAATTTGACTTTTAACTTGATTAAAGCAAATAATGCAATTTACGCATATAAGTAAGAATGAATTTTTACCTTTGCACATTTTGTAACCAGTCCATTCTGCATTCAAACCGTTGGTATTTAATCGACAAAATATTCGATAAGATTCAGTTGTAGCGTCCACAATAAAATCAGGTTTGCATTCTACTTGGCAAGAGGAACCTTTTTTCGATTTTTGACAATCTTGATCTGGTGACACTCTTAAGTTGTTATCCCTCAAATCCGACGATAGCGGAGAATTGCAAATGACTTCTGCAAAATGTATTTTATTATTGCGAGTACTATGGCGCGTGTACCATGTTTCAGTGAGATGGTCAATCAATAGGCACACTTTTACAATTCATATTGATCAACTTCTATTAGTTTTGCATTCCACATTCTCTTGAAAATATACGTACATCGTCATAATGCATTAGTTCTACATAGCGTATTATATGTTGTAATAATATTGGCTATACCTTGGCAGTCCTTTATTTCTTCTAAATTCCATTTTCCATCAGAATTGCAAAGCATTTTTTGAGTTTTTTCACTTCCAGTGATATATCCATTTTTACATAGTAAGGTGCAGCGTTCCCCCACAGCAGTTACATCGCATGTAGATGTCTTGATATTTTGAAACCTTGCAAGATCTGGATTCTGTGGACAGTTTGACGGTGTGGCTATTGTGGTAGTGGTCGTCAGTTGTTTTGCTGTAGCGGTCTCTAAATGTTTGATAACATGAGTTACATGCGGTTTCACCGCACATTCTAATTTCTCATTTCAATTTCATATTTTTAGCCTAAACAAAACTGTGTATAGGTAGTAACTAGTAATGATATCTTATGAACGCGCCTTTAAGCTGTCTAACTTTCCAAATGTTTTGAATTAACTGGTTTTGACAACGATTTGATTGATTTTATATCGGTTAAGATGTTATATATAGACAGACAAGGGGGATTTATGCGATAGTACAACCTTGCAGGTAATTTTTTTCGAAATCAACAAACAAATAAGTTTATTGGTTCTATGGAAAAACGAACAAAAAATAAACGAAAAATGCTATGATACTTGATGAAAAAGAAAAAAAGTGACTTACTTTTTGTGCAGTGTTTCAGTTTCCCAAATGGCCATATCCACGTTTTGTTTTTATAAGAACAAGGTAAAGATTGACTCTGTTGGACGTAACCATCTCTACAACTTAAAGTGCATACGGAATGTTCTGTTCCAGATGGACAATTCGCTTCTAGAATGTACTTTCTCCGTCTTAGCGGCACGTTGGTTTTTTTGCATCCTGGAATTGATTCTTTGAAATTCAAATATTGACAGAATGTATTGGTTGCGTATTACAATAAAGGTGTACTGACGACAATATACTAAAAGCATCTCCACTACAGGTTATTTACTGATTCAACTAATGATTCTTTCTATATTTCTTTCTATTAGCGGAAAGCATTTTTAGAGAATCAGTACATGGTCCAAACTTCTTGATTGACTTGAACGATTAAAAGTTCAGATCTTGTACAAATCACATTATATGACTATAAATGTGGTATAATTAGCATACATCCGAGTACATAAGATAGTATAATGACAAACATTTCGTATTGCAAATCATACATATATCTGTTCCGAGTCTCGGCAATTATTCAGCTTATGATTTAATGTTTCCCGCAATGCTGTGTATTCATTGACCTGACATATATCTGCAGAATACACGTGCTACCCAGTACTTACTTCAGGAAATAATGAAAACTAGGTGACTACACTACTGCAATCAGCTGTCTATTCGCTAAATTTCAAAGATGTAAAATTGATTGTTATGTCGCGGAATCAGTCGCGGTAAACTGTTTACTTGAGGCAGTTGAATGTTGGTCAGTTTAAACTTACAACTTTAGTTTGTTATTCAATGTTGAATGTCTGCTGTATGTAGGAGAATTAATTTATTTGGTAGAGAGAAAACTGAAAACGGTGTTAATAAAGTTTTTCACCCCGTGACAAAATATTAGATAGTGTATTTTGCGGTGGGAATCTATTGATAACGCGGTTGTATAAACTTCCAGTCTAACGCTTGAAGCGCCGACGCGGAAATTCACTAATTAGTAGCGATTTTGATTACTTATAAAAATACGGATTTTTTGTACAAAACGCAAACCACTAATGCAAAAATATGCGATTTATTTATTAATTATCCATTTTGGGTTTATTTTTATTATTTTTTAATAAATTTTGTAGACTGGCTCTTCTATATTGATATTGCCGAATAGCCGATGCAGATAATTGATATAATCGACGGCGCATCTATTATGGATCATACACGTAACATAATATTTGGTCAATCTGTACATTGAATTCAATATTTAATTTACAAACCTCCTGTAGCACCTTGCGCGTTGACACTAGCTTGTGTGGAAACTTCAGAGAGATATTGATGAAGAAGAATAGCGACAAGTCCTATTGCAATTTGGTTCTTCATCTGGAAAGTGGCGATTCAGTATCGTTGGTTTTGATTCCTAATAGATCTATTTATATTATCTGAGCAATGTTTTCATATTTAAACTGATAAAAAAACGACAAAATATGATTAATAACTTTGTAATATATATCTCAGTTAATTCAACAATTACGTTTTGACAAATCCTTTTTTTTTCTCCTCGAAGATATTTTAAAAACGAATGATATCTATTTTAAAACAGTTGCTGTGTAGTTTTTTCCCCAATATCTTTATTATCAATTCGATTTTTTAAAATTCTAGCTGAGAGATATTTTACAAATTAGTGTTTCAAATGATCAAGAAACAAGCAGGTCTTTTAAAGGAATTGGAATATTTTATTTCGGAATATTCAACTTGCACATATACTGCGCTTCCTAGTCGCGATCCGAAGAACTTAATTAAAGTCGTATGGAGAGTTCCAGCTCCTTGTATTCTCCGTTTAATTCTAACATCTGCAATGCTACGTTTTATTAGGATTGAAAAGTATGATGAACAAATATATATTTACCACAGAAAGTATTCAGATATTATATTTTAATTATCAATTACAACTTTTCTATTGAATCCAAAGCATGATGCTAATCGAATGCAACAAATAACTCATCTCTTCACTAAACTGAGCAGCGTCTATTTCAATGAGTAATGTCTCAGTTTCACAAAAGCAGCAACACCAGTCATCCTTTGCTGCGAGTCAATATGTTTCGTTACATGTAGGCCGTACTCAACCCTAAACAATAGCTTCGAAATGATGGCTGTTCAATATTAAATGGAGTATTTGAATCAACCGAGAACACGTCATGCATTGAAGAAAAGTTTCTTCTTTCCAGCATCACCCATGTTATGACGAATTCCCGAGCATATGGTCGCATCGAACTTCCGTTGTTCTGCGTCATGCATTCACAACGCTGCTGTCTCCTTCATACTTGCAATAGCAACTAAAGATTGGATTTATGTTTCATTTTACCCGAAAAACGTGATATGCATTAATCTCGACAGTGACTGAGTCAGTTTTCAGTTAAAAATATTGACTTGTGCATAAGTTTCGATTTGTAAATCGGCGGATATTAATCAGAACGGGCAGAAGTTATGCGTTTCATGGAACTTTACTTCACCCACACGCCACACGTATTTGTGAGTTCTATACTTCACTTTGATGTAGAACAGTGGTTCTTAAACTGGGTTCGATCGAACCCCTGGGGTTCGGAGGAGCTGTTCCAGGGGTGCGACGAAGGTGCTCTGAAACAGTTGCATATTATGGGACTTTTTTTTATCACCCTGCATACTAATTATGCAAAAATAACTATAGTTCATGATGACTAATTACTAATGACTTGAACAATTGAATGAAACAATTAATTGGTGTTACCCCTATTCATATTCTACCGTACTAATAAAATTTACCTCAATTTTACGGATAAATCGAAGATAGGCAGTAATTGTACATGAATGAATGCAAAATCATAGCTTGTTTAAATTTCACTAGGTGATAAAGTTGCGACAAGGAATAGTTTATCGCAGAGCTTTATCCGAAATTATTATGATCCATTCAGGACAACCTCGATATGGCGACGAATTAATCCTATCTCTATTTCTGTAAAATAAAACAATTGGCAAACGATTTTATTCGCATTTCAGCGCAGTTTAAAGTTTGAGAACAAATTGCTTGAACTACCAACGTTTATGGGGTATATTATCATCTTTCGGATTTTCAAAGTTATTTTTTATCAGTTTTCGCCGGTTCACCCGCATAACTTATACAACAAAAACCATCTGCTCTTTCTGCCGCCAACGCCATTGTGACAAAACAATGTTTATTCCCACATGGTTATTGATATCTAAGGTTTCATCACAATGTTCATATTCTATAACCTTGCAAGAATTAGCTTCCGCTTTATGACGATACGGTTTGGCTTCTAATTTCAACCGTTCAGTACAATGGGGTTCGGCGGGAGCTTGCAGAATAGCGCAGGGGTTCGGCAGGCTCACAAAGTTTAAGAACCACTGATGTAGAAGGTTAATTTTGTAATCGAATTGATACCAACTTGTGGAAAAAACTTGAATTCTAAATTTATGCATATCGTCCTGTGCGAAAGTAGGCTATCCAAGTCACCCTACGGAACTTCAACATGAAGTTCAGTCACCCCAGAAAAGTAATTAACAACGCAATTAAAAATAAAAGTTTGTCCAACTCATTTTATCGGTAAACAGTTACAGGAACAAAATATAAACTATTTTCTTTGATAGATGCGTGCCTTAACATTCCACTGCCCATGTTATTTGTCCTCGGTTTTAATGGATTGTTGAGGATTCTTTTTCTGTGAGATTGAAAAGTTAAAATTAATTACAGAATTCAAAAGATATGTATTCCTGCATGCGAGAAAAAATGATATAAATATTCCCAAAAGTATTCCGGACAGCGCATATCATAGCAGGACTTAACAAGAGAGGGAATGTAGAATTTCTCTGAAATGTTCAACATTATCAGCTATCCGGTTAAGAAAACATCTTTCAATTCTCAATCTATTTAAAAAACAAAACATACATAATAATTTGCCATACAAGTGTCGTCATTCATTTGTCGTATGCGGTATATGTATATTAAAAATTAGTTTTAAGTAAACAAAAATCAAACTTGTAATTCATGATCGCTTTCTGAAACTAATCTATGTGACCCCAAAATATGGATATAGAGAATGACTTATTTTATTTACCTCCTAGTGGAATTGAAATTGCGTCAACTTCGTATCTTTCAAAATTTTTATAAAACACAACATTATTGGACACGTAAGTGGACTTATGGAACGTTTTAATATTATGTTGTTGTTGTTGTTCTTTGTCACAGAAAAAAACGCTTTTGTCTTTGATAACTGGACCAATTGCTTTGAAATTTTCAGTGCTTGAAGAATAAATTTTTCTCTAGAAAGCTATTGCTTTTATTTATTTCAAATATTCCGGTGAGCTGCATGGGATACGTTTTTGTGTGTGCTATGACGTCATTAGCACTAGGTGGCTACGTGTCCATATTTTTGAGCATACCTCACTTGTTGAAATAGATGATACTTACACGTAGTGGTCAATTTCAAATAAACACATCCCTGGCTGTGCGTCATGTATCGTCGTATGTGAGACGCAATTTGTTCCAATATCACAACTGTGTTGTTAGTGTGTATCTGTATGTTCTTGTTTATAGTGAATCTTCCAATGCGGTTATTGGACACGAAATGTGCATATGCATCATTTTGTTTAATTGGTGTTGTTCTTAGTATCGTTGTTGTGAAAAAGCTACTTTTCTTTTTAACTACTGGACCATTTGCTTTGAAATTATCAATGGTTTAGGATTGTTTTTGTCGCTAGAAGGCTATTAGTTTTATTAGTCGCAAACATTTTGTTTTTCACTTTGTAGTCATCAAAATTTAAAATTAGTCACCGTGCGGCGGTTGCGTGATCGCATTCCAGCAAATTGGTGGTCATCGAAGTCGGAGTTTTTTGATAAGGAAGGCCACCGATATTGTAAAAGATTTGATACTACTACTTTTTTGACTTTCGTATATATGTTTGAGCATTCTTCTCTTGTTTTTTATTTTAATAAGAGAAGCGACTTATAACAAGTGTGCCGAATGGCATGAACACAAACCAAGCCAACAAATAATCTTGAACAACCGAACGTAACGGTACACATTCTTAGCTTGAGCAATTTTAATGGCGCAATAAAACAACTGTATACGCGAGAACATATTGTTCCGCTGCCTTATCTGTGACCCACTGTGTTCTTCTGGGTTATTGTCGGGGCCATAACTGATTTTGATCTTCATAAATCACGGGGTCGGCAACCTTCAGCATTAATAAAGCTATCGTTTCCATCAAACCCAAATCGACTCTTAAACACACCATGTACTGTAATGCATTTCAAAAGTTTACAGTTGCAGGTAAAAGGCATCAGTGCGTTTCTTTCATCGAGCATAATACTCCACCAACCATTTCTATTTATTACACTATACAGCTTCAAAATACTTTTGAAATAAACAAATCCTAACTTAGCAACATTTGGAATAATTACGGCTGGTAGCAGAAGTGCTGGCTCTCGAAAAAGCACTTTTGATACAATAATCTTGTTTTCAATATTTCATTAGGCCAAATGAAATATGTATAATGCAATAATATAGTATGTGACAAAATTAAAAGAGTGCGAAAAAATGAAACTTACTCCTCGGAAACCTATGGGATGTGTAATTATTGAGTAGTACCTGGCTTTAATCCTCCATCTTTTTTGAATTTCCAATTCTTCTAAACTGCTGTAGACACTTTGATTCACGGGAGCCAAAGCTCCGAGAACGCAGGTTGCCGACCGATGTTATAAATGATCTTGCTAATAGCTCCACAATATTTTCACAACAGCTTGTGATACAATTCTTCTTGATAGTAATAAGTCTCCAGGTATGTTTCAGTTTAGAATGAGCATTGAAATACAAAATAGCAAATAATATAAAACTCAACTAACTTACATTGAATGTTGACAAATCAATAACTACACTTGTATCAAACAAAAAGGGCAGGGGGCAAATCGGGACAAAAAAGTTCACTTTGAAATTGCAATACGTATCTCTCTATACCACTTTTTATGCATGCAGTGGAAATGAGTTGGCATCTGAATATTCTGCATAATTACTGTGAGCCTACCGAAAGCATGCACCGTATGCTGGGAATTTCAAGCAGGGGTACAGTAGGAGTATAACGAGATGGATGGATACTGGAGAATTAGAATCATATAAAGCAAAATTCTCATACTTTCAAGCTAACTACTTTTGTTGTCGAGGATCAGGTCATCTACGATACAAGGATCTCTTATCCCCTTATTGTGGTGACTCCAGTTATCTCGGCTTTGCAGCTTCATGTCAGACAGCAACTTCGTTGTTTTAATTGTGCTCATATGGTTATAGAGTTTTGAGGCTGAAGCGACATATTTGAACATTTATTTCCTGACTTGTAAGAAATGTTCAACCATTTATTCATGGACACTAACTAGGTTGTGTTCTAAAAAATTGTTTTGCAATATCTGTTCTACATTGTCGTATCAGGCTTGCGATATCCACACGATTATATAGGCTAAGTAGATTCATTAGATTGTCTGTTATTTTATTCAAATTTGATTTTAATGATGATTCGCTTAGATTATTCATATCCTTCATAAAACACATAGTCCAAAAATGTTTAGGTGGACAACTTTGGTGTATTGCCGTAAATTTTCCTGCATGTCGCTCTCTTCATCATTGGGTTTTGGGGAGTGCTCGTCTGTCATTGAGCTATGTAGTTTTGCGTTGCGTGTGTGTTTTATTTTTTAGTTTATGTATGTTTGAAGTGATGGTCGTATAAATGGATTAAATTTTGAGTAGCTGCCGTAATAAACTGAGCAACTGATGTCCATTACTGGAATAAAAAGTTTCGGCAACGAAGGTTGGATGGTCTATTTAGGATCAGGATTTTTAGGTTTATCTGGTGTAACCTGCATATTGAATCACGCTATATCACATATTCATAGTTGTGTGATGGCACCAGTTATTGCCTACAGACTTCCAAATTGTATCCAACATATCATGTTGAAGAACTAGTCCATATTATATGACGTCATCTGCTTCCGAACCGAGCAAACTTTTTTCTTTTTTAAATTCTTTCAATTTCGTCACAGACTGAATTATTGCAACATGCCTTCGTATTCCATTTGGTTAAGGAATAATAAAATCTAGATTATTATATATATCAAAAGTGGTTTTCCGATCGTTTTAATAGTCAACACTGCTGCTACCAACTGTAACTATTTTAAATGTTGCTAAGTTAAGTAATCTGGAGATGTACAGTTCAGTAAATGGAAAATGGGCCAGTGGAGTATTATGTTTGTTGTAACAGCACTTTTGAAATGCATTAAAGTAATTGTTGTGGCTGGAGTAGGTTTGAGTTTGACGAAAACGATGGCTCTTTCTGAAGGTTGCCGAACCGCGATTTATAAAGATTAAAAACAGTGTTGGTTCTAAACTACAGCTACAGCCCGGAACGTCACAGGTAAGGCAAGGGAACAATATGCACTCATTTGAATATATTATGATCTGTTAGTCATGTTAATATTGAGAAGTTGATGGCTTAACACAATAATGGCACAGCTTATTGCCGACCCGTGATTTATAAAGATCAAAAACAGTGTTGGTCGCGCCCGAACAGGAGCTCTGAAGAACCCAATTGGTCACAGTTACGGCAAGAGAACAATATGTATCCAATTGAACATATTGTGATCTGTTTGCCATGCGAATAATGAGATGTTGATGTGGTGCTGGCTTAACACAATAATGCCACAGTTACGATTTTGTGATTGTCGGCATCGAAAGCAAATAGAATTAAACTAGGTCTATAATTTGATGCCTGGTTTGTGTTGTCAGCTTGATAGATTAAAACTTGTCTGACGATTTTCAGGTGAGTTAGAAACATTCCTAATCGTAGTGAACGATTTCAAAATTCATGTTAATTTTTTAAAGTTTATATATTATATGCTCGTCAAAAATGCCCCCGAAAACAAAACGAGGATGTGTGTATAAAACTTACTGTCAAGAAAGACCAAATTTCGCGTATTATTCGCGTATAATTTCCAAGCATTGTTAGAAGAAAAATAACAAAAATTATTAGGACTGCTATTCACGACGTTACGAGTCTTGTTTAATTTGGGTCGTAGTCGTGTGGTTCATTAACCATTGTTCAACTCACCCACTGAAACCACGAAACTGTCCAGCCAACACAATGGGCAATTTACCTCAAAATTATGCTCAAATGGCAGAATAAAATTCGATAAAATCAGAAGAATCTCAGTGAAGTGTAAACTACAATGTAAAATTATGGCACGTCTTACTAGAGCATAGGCGTACATCAAATGCTAAGGAGATTCATATGCATCAGAGTTAATACCACAGCCAAAACACTGTAATAATGACTATGAAATATTCTAGAAGTGTGATAATACAACATATACAATAACGAGTACATCCCTAAATTGCAATTGAATTGCAATTGCTTTGAATAAAAGAAGAAAGAATAAAAATAATTTGCTCTAGAGTCTAGAGTCTAGACAGTGTTCACTTATTAAGCTACAATATCAACATACACTTCAGTGAAAAAAACAAAATTTGCAACATGAAATTTAAAATACCACTACAAAAAAATCGACTCAACTTACCGATTTATCCGGTCAATAATACTACAAACAAGTTAACAGATACTTGAATACATAAAATTTATAATACAGTATTAGATGCATGAAAAAAGATCTAAAAACAGAAATTATTAAACTCAAAATCACAACAGCACAAAACGCTGTCACCCTCTTTAAACCTAAATTGGCAAAATCACGAGATAAACTAGCGCAATAACACAAACCAGTACACTCATATGACAAAAAGTAATAAATGAAAAGAGAGCTTATTTTTGGTTGATTTAATATAAAAAAAAAAAACTTTTTAACGTGGAATATAGAAAATAAAATGACAAGAAAACAATATTAACAATATTTGACAACAAACAAATTACATTATAGTTATTTGTTGCTAGCAATTGTTGAGAAAGTACCACCCGAACACATTTTCATGCTTTGAGCCTGAATGTTCATGAGCATATAAATCACTACACTCATGGCTGCAATCCAAAATCTTGCATATTAAATTTGCTCGGATATTCAGTTTGTAATGTTCATTGAAATTTGTCGTTTCGTCCATCATTCCGATTGTCTATTACTACGGATTCAACCTGCGTTGAAATTTCTCAAATCTTTTATCTACGACCAAACACCCCACGAATGTCGGATATTTATTATAAATGTTTGATTACATAATTTAGTATTCATGATCGGAATAAAAATTTATAAATCTTTTATCAAATATGTGATTTATCAACTGGACACATTGTATTTGCTAGCAGACATAAATAAGTCTTGATACTTGTGTGTGTGACATAAAACAATGAACTGTTTGTTATTGGTCCATATTGTCGCTTCCTTCTTTTGCTTGAAAGTTTTCATAAAGATGAAATGATTGAAGGAAGTCGCTGACAGCCTGATAGCAAAATTCATATTGACCCTAAAAATAGAGATAATATATTCTGTAACCTCATTCAAAATTTGCGTATCTTAAAGTAGTGAATTTGTTTTGAAATAGAATTTTGTTTTCCCAAAAGAAACAACTATTCTATAACACACAAATCGCATTTCATTTCTTAGACTGTCTACAACTCTGCATACCTTATTTCGGACCATCATCGGTCTTTGATCCCTCAGATCTTTCACTGTTCTTAAGATATCAACACGATTTTCATTTTTCAGCCTCGCGATTAGATTTGAAATGGCACAAAAAGTACCAGTTCGTCCAGATCCATCACTAAACAAACGCAAAATTGTTGAATAACTAATAGAGAAATAATCATTTGAAGAGATTTATCTGTCCAGAATCGTTATTTTATTTTCTGGTTGATTAATCACTATGTATAAGGCCAAAGCAAGGCCTGAGATATAATTACCTGCAATGTACAAGCGTTGTCATGTTCTCAGAACTTGCCAATGTTCGATTGTGCCTTTCAATGCTTGCAATTATCTCAAGAATAGTGCTAGAATTCGCTGGATTTACTTGTTCAGGCCATTGGTCGTAGTAAATTTGTGAAACTGACAACTGAATAATAAAAGGTATTTTTATCAGTTCAAATTCTGTCCTAGTCAATGCTTTTGTACAAAAGTGATTCATTACATACATGATCGATAGCAAATTATGGTATTCATGGGGATGATTCATTGTGAAAACGCTTTTTTTTTGCGCCGGCCATCAGTTTCAATATGGGTGCTCCGATGTATTCGTACCAAGATGGCGCACAACCTGAACATAGTATGTGTACCAGGTTAGGGTTGTTCAGGTTGTTCGTCATATTGGTACGAATGCTTCCGGAGCGCCTTAATATGTGTATAATATTTTAGCCCATAATACGTCACCAAATCCTATATCAAGTACGGACATCAAGTCAGTTGGACGCTCAAAATTACTTCCAAATACACAACCTTTTTGTCTTTGAGTGATATTACAAATTCTCTTTTCGTGTAACCCGCTGAACAGGTTTCTAAAGTTGTTTTTACATGCACAGGTCCGTAATTCCACTCCTCTGCTTTGTTGGGCCAAAAACAGTAGCTTGCCTTCTCGTTTTTCTGCAATGTTGGCATAGAATTAGTACGAATTGAAATAAAATTAAAACGAGAATATCGGTCAGAGACCGAAGACTTATCGATCGAAAGTTAGGGGATCCCCAAAACAGAAACTGGGTTTCGATTCGAAAAATTCTGCAAACCCGAACTGGATTGTTTTGAATAGTTTCCAGCCCATATCAAAAATGTAGGAAACAATAGCCAACTCCCCATGTCGTCGTCGAAATACTACTCGAGGAAATACTTTTATGAAGAATTCTGCAAATCCGAACTGGATTGTTTCGATTAGTTTCCAGCCAATAGCCTTTTACCAATCCTATATTTTGTGTCAAATACAACGGCGCTAACCCGGGTTGCGACGGCTATTCAAACACAGCCTAGCGATATTTTGGTGAGGAATTCTGCAACCCCGAACCTGAGAGAATTATAAGTAACGAGATACGATCTCGCGGCGTGTATCCTTCGCTCTGACTCAATAGCGTGGAAAATTTCTCGAAGGAAACTTGCGCATCGCGACGACGTCAAAGTTACAAGAGAGATATGGACAATGCTTAAAGATTAATCACGAGATACGATCTAGCGGTGTGTATCCTTCGCTCTGACTCACTAGCGTGAAAACTTGCGCATCGGACACGCACCCACACATTCAGCGCGTCTCGAAAATCTCTCGCTTTGTAAAAATCCAGATCTCTTCATCACTAATTAATTAATAACTCGCTAATTATACGACATAATTCTTCCAAAATCAATAGGCTACTGGTCCGAGATATGATGAATGCACATGCGAAATTTGGAGCAGATTCAACCACTTCTTCGTGAGATATCGCGTGCATCTAACAGACATACAGACAAATACCTATCAACATACTTACCGATTAAAATCGATAAGTAACTAGATAGCGATCGGAGACCTCTGTTACGCACACAATCGTTCGCAGTGACGAAAGTTAGGGGATCCCCCAAAACAGAAACTGCGGTTTCGATTCCTTTGCTCTGACTCAATAGCGACACCGCGTGTCCCATCACTAATTATTTAATAATTTGCTAATTATATGACATAATTCATCCAAAATCAATAGGCTCTTGGTCCGAGATATGATGAATGCACATGCAAAATTTGGAGCAGATTCGCTTTCGTGAGATATCGCGTAACATACGAACGTGTCTAACAGACAAACAAACAGACAAATACCTATCAACATATTTACCGATCGAGATCGATAAGTTATAAAACTATTCAATAATTTAATATCTAAATAGTAAAAAACTTGCCTCACACAGGGATACAATCATGCTGACTTTGTTATCTAAGATCATTCGCCAGAATGCCTCGGTACTTTCCGAAGATGGAGTTTGTGCTGCTATAAATATGTCTGTCGGATAGTAGGACTAAAAAGAAGTTTAAAAGTAGAAACATAAATCACAGGGAGTATGGATATTGAGCATTTCTCAACTAATAGATGCATAATTTATATAAGATAACATACTTTCTAAAATATTCGATCTGATTTTAATGTTTAGTTCAAGGTCAAAACTCTGACTATGACTTATACACTTAAACCTATACTCATAAATCCTACAAACGAAGATTGAAATTTCTTTTCAGACTACGACACATACATACACATACATAAATGAACATGTGACAACTTATTACACCCAATGGCATATGCATATACAGCCAAAGCTATATAATACGGATTCATTCAAGTACATGTCGCTACAGGGGATTTCCCGCTTTGTGCAAAATACAAAATATGACGTTTACTAAAGCTTTATCTGTATACTGAATTTATTAAAAACGAATGCCATTGATTCTTACTTGTCTTAAGCTATTTATCATTCGGATTATCTCGATTAATTTGACTATTTTTGCTACCAAAATTGTGTTATCTATATATTGATTAATATGTGATAATTAGGAAGAAAAATATTAGTCAAATACCACAGCAGATATTTTGAACACCGTTATTCCCAGCGTGTGTACACAACAAAAATGTTTGCAATTGTTGCGGACATCTTTGGATGCGAATAGAGTTCCTTATAAAGCAATTCACAAGGCAATTATTTAAGTATTCCAATAAACCATCAGAATATTGAGTCCATATACACGGGTATATCGATTTCTCATGTTTTAAGATATCTGTTTCTTAAGTTGATAAACAACAACACTGTATATGTGTTGATTATTATTACAAATCATCGAAATATCTGTTATATAAGGAAATTTAAAGTATCGGTATTCGTGTTGTTGTTCTCCTTGGTATCGGATCGATATCGTTATCAATGAATGTACATTTTATGAATGAAACATACTACATAGATTTGACTGTATATGCACATGGCATCGCTGTTTATGCATATGGCATTGGCGCCATAGGTATATGAGTTGGCTGTTATGAATATTTTTGACTGTAGTTGGATATAACGTTACCAACCCTATTGAACAATCTTGCGACAACTCAAATTCATCAACAACAATGAGAAATCAAAAATTAATTATAATTTAGTGATTTCAGTCAACGAATGTTGCATCTACTTTTGAAAATGCAAAAAAAAATTCTACAATCTCATCCAGAAGTTATTTGATGGGCAGTCGCATTTTTGCCCCAAAACAAGGTATCTGGACTGGTTCTTCAAGCCAGACAGGACCATAACCCAACTTCCATATATCAACGTTCTAGTTTAACATCGCGTATTTTTAATCACGGAAGCTTCGATTGCTCCGTCAACTATTTGATAATGATAGCAATCTCACTGACTGGATCACTGACATTCAAAGTATTCCAAACAGTGCAGAAGGAAAAAAACACGCAGAAGCCATTGGCAGTTACCGTATGTGTTATTAATCTTACGATAACAATTTTGTGATTTATAGGGGATATACAATAACAAACTTACTGTGATGTTGCTGGCATTGTAATACGGGACACATTTGTCAGCGGGATTCATCTTAATTGACACCGCATTGTGGTCATCTGAAACAAAATGAGATCTCATGTATAAAAGAGTTCAAATGTTTCATAGGAAGAACGAGTAGCACGCAGAAATGAAAGTAAGCATAATTATAGGCTATTGTGACTAATATTCAATGAGATGTGAATTATCATTAACAGCGAGTTTATAGCATTACTATGATATAATAATATCGATAAAAAAGACTTACATGGAATGACTGTCCGATCGCAATTCAAATGTTTATTTTCCGTCTTCCATCCAGCAGCTTGAACTGTGTCGAGCGGTGGAAAATAATTCAGCATCTCAAATTCATGATCGATTTCATTTGACTGACCATTTTTTCTAAAATATTTCCAGAATTTTATTTGAAATTGTCCACTGGTGTTACATGCATATAGCAGCTTTCATATATAATTAAATACTATAAGCATACATGATAAATTCATTCGTATTATATAATTTAATTTTAATGTCCAAATCTTTGCCTCTATGCACTTTTATTGCCAAAATATTGATATTACTCTGGACCTTCATGTCATGTTAATCTCATATACATATATTGCGCCCTGAGATCATTTTCCAAATCCACGATATATATGAAGTGAAAATAAAAGTTATTCTGGCAAATTGCTGTTGATGTTGTTTGGACAATACAACGACATATTTTTCTACGGACTACTAAACTGATTGGTTTTGAATTCTCAATAGTTTAAGATGGAAGTGTTTCTTATATGGTTATAGCACTTGCTTTCATAGCTCATCTCAGCTTTTTCTAATATTAGGCTAAATATTGCTCCTTCACATCAATTTGCATATGTGAATATTTATGAAAAAAAAAGAGTTCAAACCTCATGATGTTTTTGTACTTTGACTCGAATCCACAAACATCGTCATCTGAATCACCAGACTGATATAACTCGAATAATAGTTTGTGGATAAGTATATATTGATCCTATAAAAATACCACAATGGTTAGAGATACGTCCGTCCATTAGTTGTATCACATATACTGTGTAGCTTGTTTGTTATAGAAATATAATTTATATTTTATTTTTTACTACCTTTATCATTAAACCCCCATCGTAATGGTTTATTGATTAAATATTAACAAGTATTCAATATGGATAATTTAGTATCACGTTACTATGCGTCACAGTTCTGATATTAGAATATTCCAAACACGCGGTCAGTAAATATGCAAGGCATATGTGATATGAGTCAGAATTATTTGCTGAAACAGTGCATTGAAAGATTTTTAACAGACAATGAAGTGACTAACATCTTTGACTCTGACGAAACGAATAAAAATAGAAACGACTGAATTTGGGGAGTGCAACAAATTCCAGTTTGATTTCTTCGGAAAACTATTTTGTTGAAATAGTGAGTTGATCATTGTTTTATATCTTAAAACTTCCCAACTTGACAAATACTAAATAAATACATTGTTAAGCAATTCTAAATGCAAATTTTTCCCTGTATGCACTTTTGCATCCTTCAGTCACAAGACAGTATTGAAAAGTGAATATGTTTACACAGCAACTTGCAGAAGTAAATATAACCGCTTAGGTTATATTCCGAGGAATATATAGCCTACAAAGGTTGAAGTACTAATTGAAACTCACCAATGTTTCGACCATCTCCGGCCTACGTTTGCGCATCTTACCGACTATTTCACATATGTTAAAAATCTCTGATTTGGCGATCTGTTCTGAAAGTATGTCTAAAGCTATAAAAGTTCCCGTTCTACCCACGCCCGCGCTGTAAAAAAAATCATAAAAATGAAAATGGGTTTTACACATATTGCGAATATCAGCAAAATGAATGGGATAAAAGCTCATACCTGCAATGCACAACAATCGGTCCTACGGATTCGCTTTGAGGATGGGCCACTGCTTTGTGGAATCGAAACAAACTCGATGTTGCAACAGGAATTCCACGATAAGGCCATGCTATGAACTGGAACTGCAGGACTTCTCTTGTCTGAATAATATTTTGCAATTAGGATTAACCATGGAATCACAGTTAAACTTGATCACATTTCAATTAAATTATGATGCTTACCACATTGTTCTTGGATATTTCAAACCGACGACGAACGAAGTCTCCACATTTCGAAATTTCGATTAAATTGACGATAATGTCTCCATACGTGATGCTCTGATCACCATCCTCGGACCAATACTGTGCACATTTAACCTTCATATAGAAGTATAACGTGGTAGGTCTTGGTATATTTTGTTTGGTGTTAGCATTGTGTTACTAAATTTGCTTTACGTCGTTTTAAAGCGAGTTAATGTTAACTTTATTATATATGTATAATTGTATATATGTGTGTGTGGAATTGGGCATGACCATCTTCGGAAATTTCTTTGTTTGCTTTTTAAAGGATGTGCCGTATCAAATTAGGGAATGTCTCTCAGTAGTTAAGTATTTAGCAGTATTTAATATGTTTAGTAAATGACTATATGCACTATATGCATAGATGTCGTTCATGATCTGAAAATACTTAGTAGATTCATAAAAAGTTATGCGCCTGTGAAACTTGATTATCTTTATATTACCTTTTTGTCTTCTATTAATCTAGTCAACGCAGCAATAATGTAGCAATCTTTCTCCCATATCATTCTCCAAAAGTCTGTAATGGTATTTTGCCTGGGTCCTTGCGTAGCAATAAATTTGTTTGGAAAGTTGTATCCCTGAAAATGTAATAATATATATCATGAACTGACTATACCCGACAAGTATGGCTATTGAAATCCGCCGTTCCATGAAATCCTTTGCTGTTCTCATATACAGTCCATATCTTTGCATTGCACGTACATTGGCACTCGTGCACTTATACCGGTAAACTGGAACCGAACATAGACAAATTTATACGTTTGCACCCATGGACATTCGTATTCGCGAACATTTTCACCGATAGATATTTACTCTTATGAACATTTCCACTTGTCGATTATTGCATCACTATTTTAGGGTTTTGTTTTTTATCAATTCTAAAAAAAACATCGTGTTTTAAAACAAGGGCTTATTTTAAATCAATTTTTTTCTGTATTTTTTGTATTTTTTATTGAAATACACTTTGCATCGCCGCGAAACTACGCCAAAACGTTGCATTCTGGCAGCTGTACAAGCAGCCGGAATTATAATTTTAAAAATGTAAGTGAAAATTCCTATTTTGACTTTTACTTCTATTGCGTACATGTATCGCGACTTCCGTATTTCCACAAAAGTCAAAAGATTTTAACCGGAATGTTTATCCGAGATAACAAAGAGACGTTTTGAGTAAGGAAAATCATGAAAATTAGCTCACAAGCATACTATAAAATCAATTGGAGAAATGGCAGCCTTCGGCAAAACGAGTGAGTTGCGATAATGAAGAATATGCTTACATCGACGGCGAATGAGACAGGCTAGCCTGGCCTATGCTAATTGTAATAGTCCTCTGATGCAAAAACGCCTCAAGTAATCTGTTATGACGCCATGATGTGGATTTCAAGTTCATGTATTGACATTTTTCTCATAAAATGAAGGCATTATTACGGTTAATACTGTTCATAATTTATGCTTATCAAGCTTTATTTTTACGGTTGAAGTGATAGAGATTTTCAAGATTATACAAATTCATTTATTCGATTGCATTTCAATTTTCGCAAGGTTGTTTCGTCGCAGGGTCGTTCACGTAATTGCAATACGTTATCGGTTGCGTCTTACTGCGCCAACCACTGAACTACAGCTTGAGAAGGTGTACATGAGCCTCTATCGTTATTTGTGGCGTTTTGGAGAAGTTATTGCAAATAAGAAGCGCTTGGCAAGTTTTTACATCCAATTTTCTTCAACCTATTTAATACAAAAAAATCAAATAGTACAGCCATTTTAAACAAAACAGGCAAAAAAAAACTCGATTTAAAACAATTGTTTTGAAACAATTCTTTTTGAACAAATCCCTAACCACTATACATTAACACGAATGGACATTATCGTATAATTGCACCCACTAGAATTTATATCAATGGATATTTTTATTCATGAATATTTGCACCTGCGTATATTTGTACCCACTTTCATTTTCACGGCTGTTTATTTGTGTTCGATGGAAAATTATGCCCTTGTTCCAATTATGCCTGACCTGGGGCTAGCTCTTCTCACCAGACTGTGAGGTAACGAGGCTGAAATGTTTAGTGCCTCTGAGTCATGGATATTCTAATGTCATACTTAACGATGAGTAATAACGCATTACAAATCTACATTTATAGATATTGAATAAAGTAATGTAATTTTATCTTAAAAACTTGGGTGTGAAAATCTCCATGAAAACAAATTTCTGTGGGTGTAATTATCCATGTGCTCAAATGTCCGTGGGTGCAAATATTTAGTTGCACAAATTTTTATATACGCGAATGTCTATGGGTGCAATATTTATGAGTGCAGTCTGTACGCGGGTGCTTTAATCAGTTGGTGCAATGTCCGTGGGTGTGGAAATGTACAGGCGCAAATGTAATCTGTGTAGTTGCAAGGGTACGTGGATGCGAATATGTTGCCACGTCGATAAATTTGTGGCGTCAGCGGAAATACAGAAGGCTGGTATCCTTGTACTCACGTCAATGTAAGATGCGTTTATGTAATCGGAGAACTCATCGCCAGCTAGTTTTTGCAGTAAAACTCTTGTGTTATCATCTGGTATAAAAATAAAGATGCAGGTCAAGTTAATTTTTTTCAACCAGTAGAATCAACAGTATACAAACTAAAGGCGAAAAATAAAGCATACAGTTTTACCAGTGGAGGAAAGTCGCGAGGAACCAAAGCTGGATATCTAGTAGAATAAAACATTTGAACACTATCGATCAGGAGCTCTGCCAGGATTTTCAAAGGGAGAATGGTTTCAAAATCCGAAATTCCTACGCAACGGCTCCTGAAACAGACGCCGCGATTACGCACTTGTTAATGCGTGTCTCACACTTGTACTGCTTATCCCACATTTTAGGCGTTTTTTCTTTTTCTTCGAGCAATAAAAGATCCGACTTTTCCAGCGTATACTGATTTTTCTGCCAAGTAAAATACTCAATCGATGATGTTTACGAAAATTTAAAATATCTTTCTATATTAATTCAATTCTGTTTAACGTAACTCGCGGCGATGTTGCAAATTCTTCAACGCCGTTAGAAAAATCCCATAGAGTAAGAATTCATTTAGTACAATATAAAAACATATAAAGTATATTAGAATATGAAAATGCATATTCATCGTCTCGAAATCCCCGCGAAACTGCTCTTGAAACAATCACCACAATTACGCCTCATGTTTAAAGAGCTGACTTTTTCAACCGATAATGACCAATCTTTGACCGATACGCAGGCTTATCCATGGGAATGAGATGGGATGGGACAGCACACATTTGTATTTCCCATGGGAAAAATATGTCCCATGGACAAGCCTGCCGATGCGTGAATATTTAAAACGTCTTTATTAAATTACTTTTATTCAACATAACATATAAACAATACTCCTCTGATATACTATGGTAATCCACGGACATAAAAATATGTGGTAAAGTACCTGGGCTGATTATATCTTGTTTTCATTCGTATTTTGCGATTTCCCATATTAGACAAATCTGTGCTGTTCTTGCAACACTGACTTCGCTCTATTTCAGAGATATCGTTAGAAAAATCCCTACGTCTGTGATTAAATCCATGAGTTCAAAAAAAATTGATTGAATCTTTTTTACTTTAATTCTCTTATATATGTATCAAGCCGCGTCAGGGCCCGTCGGTAGTTTTAGAATTGATCAAATTGTACATCGTTTGCACAATTCATTGTGTTTCGATTTCAATGACTGTATGGTTTTCAAAACCAAACAATTATTAAAAGGTATGCTATAGGCACGAAGAAATTTTTCAATTACCAATGTCTAAAAGAGCGTTTTAAATCTGTCGCTAGCCTCCTGAATCAAGACTTATGGTGTTTCCGTTTTATTTTAGGTATTTTATAAGAAAAGTTCGGTTTACGGACTTACTCATTCAATTCTCTTAAGCATCTCGTCGTCGATGATTATAACAACTCACACTGGCGTGATTTTATTTACTTTTTTTTTGCGAGTACGGAAACATGCTTTAAGCGATATTGGTAACCTCATTGCCATTTCAGCTCCGATATACATAAATAACCTATAAACAGTTTTCGCATTACACAGTACTATTTTTTGCACAATTTAATTGAAAAAATTCGGATAAAAAAATGTATATGCGACAGAAACTTAGTTTGATTAGCAATAAATTGTCCTACTTACACGGAACTATGTTTTTATATCTATTCTTCGGTTGATTTGCTGGTAATTTAGAAATCTCTGCTGTTAGCTTGCATGACTTCATTGCTGCTGGAACATCATTCTAAAAATGGGATTAAGCTTGATTTTATGCATTTACCATAAATGATACATTTCATTTTTTGTGGTTAGATATATACCTTGAATTCCTGTAAGAATAATAGATTCTCATCAACTCTTTTGTCATTCATCAACTGAAACAAATTTGCCAGCTGAAAAGAATGTTTTCCAAGTAGTTGATTGCTAATTTTAGCTGGATTCCGTTGCTCAATATTTGCTTCAACATCCATATGCTCGACTACTTTAAGTGCGTGATGGTCTGTAAAATTGAATATTGCTTAGCACTGGCCGAGTTGTACAAACATAATAGGGCGATACAGTTTTGTGGAAACGAAAAAGTCAAACTCTTAGAAACAATTTGCGATGTGAATCATACATATAACTGAGGTAAAATGAATCAGGGTAGGCAACACTTGATTCACTATTGATTCCAAGTATTATGTAAATTGTAAACTTGTAATCATTGCATAAAGAAGTCATAGAGCATATATATAATGGTAAACGTAGCTGTCTTTGTGTCGTTTTGTTTAGGTCGGTGGTTCTCAACCTTTTTTCTTTCGTGGCCCATTTTCGTTGGACAAAAATATGTCTGTGGCGTACCTGAAAATGTTTCTGTGGGCCATGGGTCACTGGTTGAGAACCAGTGTTTGAAACATTAATATTACGCGATATGATCAATATTTACTAAAGATGAATTACTCCATATCCATTCGTTGTTTATCAAGCTGAAAAAGAATTTCCTAAAATATCTGTACCTCGATTTGGTGGAATACTTCTCATTGCAATCTCATCATACACATGATTTTCCTTCGCTTGTTTCCTACCATGAAAAACGCCGTTATTTTTTAGTGTTATTTGTTCTATTTTAGAATTTTCTATTTGAATAAAATCGAAAATATAAAACAACGATTAGATGATTATAGTGCATGGACTGTGAAATGAATATAGGTTTACGCATACAAGCGATTGTTTCAATATTTTTAATTAGAACTATCGTTTGATGTACTTAGAAGAATTAGAAAAGTTTTGCCCTCATTTTTGAACACTGTGGTTAATCATTTTAATCCCAAACTATTCAATGGATCAAATACATTAATAAATGATAGTGATTTGTGATGTGTCACAATGCTTTTTTAATCTTTTCAACAAAATATTTGACAATCACAATCGCGGTTTACCTTCTATAAATTTTATAAAATACAACACCAATCACGGTTAGAACTATTATCAGCACTATCACCAATGGTAGAATGATTTTGAGCGGTAAATCTGATCCTTGTCCAACCGTTTCTGTGAAAAATAATTGCCACAGTTGTTGTGGGTTCTCTTGTAACAGCTATAATAGCACAAACTTTACTTCTTAGTGTTGAGTAAATTCGAACGCCTATATTAAAATTTTGTTCGTATTATCATCAAAGCTTACCCTTTGTTACAGACCACGGCTCGGAAAAACCACTTGCCACAATGATAGGATCACCGCCATCTTCATCCGGAACAGAAACCAGAATATAATGTTGGTATTCGCTGGCACTGTCCAGCTTTCGATTATTTCCTTCCACAACATTGTTTTTGATAGTTGATCTCTTTTTTCTACTATTGTCGTCTTTACTCCCGCAGGTTTCATTCGACCCACTCATATCACAGCAAGTTGTTCCACCATTTCCAAGAACAATTCTTTGAGTTTCATCAAACCTGTGAAAATGAATCAGCTTCAATAAGGATTAACTAAAAACAACCTTTGGCATGTATAAATGGTTACGCTGCTTGCGTTGTTCTGACATACCGATTCAAGGCAAACGCAACAAAACTATCTCCATCTTCCACACTATCATTGAACTGTTTCATCATGTCAACATCTTTTATATTTTTTGTTTCATTTCCGTCTTTTGTACGTTTTTGAACAACAACAATATAACAACTGAAAATAGCAGGTATGCACGTTTACAAAAGTCATCGGAAAAAATTGAAAAATTATGTAGCATCATAGCAATCTATTCGAAGCGCGTCAGTCGAGTTTTTAAACTCATCATAACTCATATGTTTAAACGGTTGATTGAAGGCTGCTTATCGTTATATATATATTAAAAACTCCGTTCTAACTGAAATTTGGTTATATCTCGTTGGATAAATAATATGTATTCTTCGTAGTAAAAAAAGACAATTTTGAAAAATTCGAGAAAATAGCAATTTATGTTGGATAATGTTTACACAAGGTATAAATACCAAAAATACCCGGCGTCAACTAGTAATCTATCCGAAGTGCATCCATCGAGTTTCAAATTTTTTAACCAGATTATATAACAGATATATGGGTGATGAATAATGTGTTTTTTTCGTAGTGAAAAACATTTTTATAAAAAGTTCTGTAAAAAAATCTGTAAAACTTGTGGTGAATTGACTAATTATCAGATTGATGCCATTCATGGCAAATAGTGTCAACAAACTAAAGGGGTCATACTATACCTGACCGATCCATTTCTTTCATCAACTGGACTTAATTGTATTGTAATTGTATTATGTTTTGGATTGCCGCTGTCGTATATCGCTGGAGTTGTAACTACGGACGGAGCTGTAGATAGGACAAATATGATATTGCTTTATTAAGTTGAAAATGTCGAACTTCAACGCAACGCCGGACCGGATCCAAATGGATATGTATTGCGTCGAAGTTAAATTTTAGGGAAGTTAGGATTCCAGACAGGTAGAACAAATTTGGAATTGGAAGGGAACATTTTCAAAATTGTTTTATCATAATATTATTGACCAGATTTAATTAAAGAACAAAACGTAAATAAATTGCCAATGTACTGCGCTTTGCACAGTACTTGTAAACGATCAAGATATCTTCATCGCACTTACCTGCTCGTTTCGTAGAGCAACCAGTAGCAACATTACTCCATGCAATCGGCACTTTTCCGAGACACACAGCTGGGGGAATGGTGCCAACCTGTACTTTATATTGTGAGTTTGGATTTGTTGAAAACGCATATTCAAAAGTTATATTTAATTGTCTTTCCAAAAAATTGGAAGCATCGTTTGTGTTGGAAGATAATGAGTTTTTCGCTCTTTCGTCGATTCTTATCTGGAATATTATGAATATTGTGACATCAAATTACGATTAATAGAGCAATTATCGACCAAGACACTCACTGCATAACCACCAATGTTTCTTTTGTATTGCTGATTCCATTTAATCTTGCAAATTTTCCCAGTATTTGAAAGCATGATACTGCTTGGTGAACCAGAGGGTCCTTGGCTGGTTGTTTCACGATACTTCCGAAAATATTTTTCTTTATTTGAGCATCCTTCAATCTCTGGTATTACCTAAAATCAGTAAGTTGTTTTCAGATTTTTTTTCATCTTTGCAAAAGTTTCTGGTTTCGACCTACCTGTATCTCATACTGTGTGTTCTTTTGCAGTTTCAATAAATCGTGAGGTGCGTGTTCTTCAGTTGCTCTATTATCAGAAAACTTAAGTTTAATTTCACGTCAATTGAAAACAATCATAGAGAAAGACAAATAGCAACTCTGTGAATAACCATCTCACCTGATTTCTCCGTTTAGCTTTATTGTATAATTTAGTGATCCGAAATCTTTCAGTTCGTTCCAATCTACTGTCAACTTATTTCCATCGCAGATATCATTAGAAACGTTCACTGCATTTTGATTTGTTTTATCTTTGATAAAGAATTAGTTAACACAGATGGCATTTTCTAGTCATAATCAATACAAAAACAATTACCAGTAACGGTTATTTTTGTGCAATCCAGAACATTTGTAAATGTAGAACCATTATACAGTATTCCTTTCCCACTTATGTACGTGTCGAGCGTTATATCTTTTAGAGTGTATAGATCTCTATGGAAAAACAGATAAACAAATAAGCCGAAGGAATTTTCAGCCAGAGAAACTGACAATGTACACGAAGCAGTTAAAATACTTTAGAGTTGACCCTTCTGTAGAATCATATCCATTTACGGAAAATGTTTTGTTTAGTTTCCCATTTATGAATATTTGAAAATCAGCTTTTCCCGCAATATTTGTTTCCACTTCGAAGTCTATTTTAATTGATCCGCCTTCCGTCGTTTGATATTCGTCTTTAGAAAATTTAACAGTTAACGGACCTATGAAATATAATTAGTTTTGTTGTCATATATAATCTGATCAGGGATTTTAAGTAAGACTAATGGTTAATTTGTTGATCCTCACCCTCCCGGCAATGGCGTCCGCAAAACATTGGCGGGCAATTGCATTTGTAGCTACAGCCGTACACGACACATTCCCCATTCACACAAGGATGTGACGAACAAGGACTTTTATTACTTCCTGAGAATATGAAAATTAATCAATTTATCATTGCGTTTGCCTAGATACAGATTATCGTTTTGACGGTGTTCATCAAATTTCAGAATTATTTGGTATTGCAGCGGAAATGACAAACATTTTGATTTCGTGAACTATATTCAGAGCCCAAACTCAAATATTGAATATAAATATATGGCAATAAAATTACGGTACGCCTTTTTGTGCGCCAGCAATGGACCCTGCCAAACTAAAAATATATTGCAAACTATAAAAATCGATAGATTAATTCCAACGATTTATGTGCTTAATTCATGAAAATATGAACACAAATTTATATTTATTCAATTATGAATTAGTGAAGATTCACAGAAAAATAATTTTATAAAAATGCTATAAACTATACGAATGGTTTTTGTTAATATGAAAGAATAATAACATCTTGAGCGTATTTTATCTAACATACCGGTATCATCCCACATTTCGCAAATATATTTCTGATTACAATTGGGATATTCCGTTCTTTGATAATACTTCAATACCGCACACTTCTTGGAGGTTGTACTCGTGCTGCCTGAAATTTAAAATCATTGAAATTAAATTATTGCAATATTCGAAAATATGCAATATAACTCTAAGACAACGATGTGCTCTGGACTCACTGTATGGATCACCATCGCCCCAAGTCCATTTCCCTTTATTTCTCCATGCGTTAATCAAAAATGTTTCGGTGGATCTCATTTCATTGTAAAGAAATTTGGCTTGTTTCGCTGTCTTAGGCATGGCTAACTCGTATCCTGGGCCTGCCCGATCTTTGCACGCAGCTGCAGCTTTTTGTCTACCATTGACTGAACTATCTGATATCCAGTATTTACAGTCTTCATTCTTCAGTATTTTTACTAAAATTTAACAAAATGATTGGGTGTATATATTGATTTATAGGCATTTTAGTGTTACATACCATACTCAATGAGGGAAAATAATAATAAAAAATAACTTTGTATAATCAGAGTGCGAGAATATATTATGCCGTTGTGTGAACACTTGCTTGTGAAGACAACCAAAATTATGCTCGCGTATTAGCGTAATACTTCTCAAAACCAGCTAAATCGGGTAAACCAGCTAACGGGCCTATAGCAAATATCGAGCAAATATGAAAAATGTAAAAAGTAGCTATTTGGAAACACTTCCATTTTTTTGCTATAGACAATTTGAAAGCGACCCAGTATAGACGAAAGCGATATTTTGTTACAACGACAGCAATCACAACCACATTCATGTTGACAACGATTTAAAAAAATTAATCACATATCTATTTTATATATATTTAAATATTTATAAAAAAAATGAAAAATGACTTGCGTTGGCAACTCCCGACCGTTGATATTTTAGGACTCCAGCTTGCACTTTCTCCCTCTTGTCGGCATCTGATAGCTTTGGAAGTTACTCCATTTTGAAATTCATATCTATTACTGCATTCAAGAACGCAAGTCGTTCCAGCATTTCTTTGGCATGTTCTTGTCTGATATGTCGGTACCTTCGAATATTTATTTCTCGGCTCTGGTATTGTGAACGGCTCACAAGTAATACCTAGAAAATGGAAATATTTGAATTTAGTTATATACTTTTTTGACATATACATCATTCATTTTATTAATAATATCACAAAAAAATCAATTCTTATATTTAATAGATATAAATCAACACAAATCCAACAATATTTTAGTGTGTCATTATCACTTTTGCCATGTTTTTCTTTTTGCTATGCAGTTAAAATTTAAAAATACCACCAATATTTTGTGGTAGATTGATTAGTATCTAGAAATTTAAAGTTGATCGATATATATATATACTTACGGACACATCTTGCATTGTTTAATTTTGTCCATTGAGCTGGATAAGCTGAACTGGGCTTTTCACATGTCACCTGGTTTGTATCTCCTTCAAATTTATATCCACTCGCACATTGTAACGTGCATACCGATCTCAGGGCGTTGTTGTTTGTGCATTGGTACTTGTAGTTCTCACCATTATGGAACCGATAAATTGGACAAGTTATTTCTGCGTGAACAATTATTCTAGTTCTAGTATATTATAATACATTTTGATATTGTCAATACGATTTTTATTATTAGTGATGCTTCCATTAAAAGATAACGTTTGTCTAATACTCGAATTGCCAATCTCGGTGCGACAAGAAATTTATAAAAAATATATCATTTATCTTATTTATATTTCAGAAAGTTCTGTTTGATTTCAATTTAGGCAGCTTATTTATATAAAAAATGTACTTTTTTAACGTAATAAGTGAATTAGAGACTAGAGTATTATTATTTTCAGATATTTTCAACATTAGAGTATTGATATATGAATATTTGGCAAAGTGGCATAATTTGTACTCAAATGAAACCTAATAATATGATCACTATTTTCTGGGTATTTAATTGACCTTAGTTTAGTCTAGAGCAGGGGTGTCAAACATGCGGCCCGCGGGCCGCATGCGGCCCCAGTGAACTTCCAATGCGGCCCTCGAACGCTTAACAATATTTGTAATATTTTGGAAGTTTTTTTTTCATCTAATTGATTATTCACACAAAAAAGGAACAATTTACAGAAAGTAGTTTTGAAAAATTAATTTTTTTGTTTGTTTTAAATTTGACCCAATTATGGATAGACTTCAAGCTAGCAAAAAAGAACACGAAGAAAGTGGCATTTTCAAAAATGGAGGTTGCAATATTTCTGTATTTCTTAAAATTCTAAAGCACATTGTTCAATTTAGTGCATTTCTATCAGCACAATAAAAGAATACAATATAAGTAGACAATATCAGAATAAGCTCATTAGTCAATATGACAAATTTGAAGATCAACTTGGAATAGAATATTTTTATGTGTTTATATATATATTATTATAATTAAACAACTACCTAGTTACTAAAAGTCAATATATATATATAAATCATAACCCAAGCGGTCATATGCCACGTGGTGCCAATGGTAGGAAATGTATGGTCCGAAAAATCAGTCATTACTTTTGTTAACAGTATAACCGATAATCATGTGACCCCGTTAATTAGAGTTGGTACTGTAAAATCATTTCAGCCCGATATTAGTAAGCTGGTGGCACAAAAGAAATGCCAAACGTCAGGACATATGTAATGAAAAAAACATTGAGTTTATTCGTTAGTATTTTTGGGGTATATATTTAGATTAAGTCATTTTTATTATGTATTATTTTTTTTTATCAAATCGTTGTTCAAAAATGTTTCGGGTAGTTGTAAAAAAAACTTGGATTTTTATAATAAATAAATTTGCAATAATAGTAAATTACCAAGAAATTAATATGTAAACGCCATTTGAAATTTCAGAAAATACCAAAACTTTATTCGGTTATTTGATTGCATCCCAATATAGGTCACAAACTACACATATCTAAAAATATGCTATTAAGTTAAGTATACATTATCAAAATATATCAAAAGCTGTTTGCGGCCCTTTGCGCAATTCCCAAAATGCAATGCGGCCCTTGAAAACCCACGAGTTTGACACCCCTGGTCTAGAGATACATATAAAAATATTACAAGCTATTGTTGTCGGATTTTCGAATTCGTTTATGTCTAAAACAACTATGGATAAAACGTCGCTAAGATCATGTAACATTGATTACAAGTTTGGACATTTCCATGTTACGAGATGTTTCAACACTAATAGCTATTATTTACGTTGGTTCTTGGAAAATGTAAGTTGCTTTTAATGTTCATATGTATATATATACTTCAAATATGGATATTTTGATTCGAGCTTCGTTGGCGAATTGTATCTATCACTTCTTTTTGGAAGACTTACGAGCGCATTTTGTATTCCCGATTGATGACCATTTAGCGGGATTCGGGGTTATTTTTCGGCATGTTGCGGTTTTAGTTGTTCCTTTAAGTTCATATCCTTCTGCGCAACTCAATGTACATTTTGAATTCACTGGTTTGTCGGCACAAAATTCAACAAGGCTGGATCCGTCGTTAAATTGTAAACTAGGACATTTAATTTCTGTAAGTAATGATAAAACATTTATAACAATATAGCAACTTCTATCCTATTTTAAAGAAAGTAATGGTATATTTAAAAAACAAATTCATATGAAACAAAGCTTGATAAAATAGAAAAAAAAAACTTGCGTTGACAACTTCCAACTGATGATATATCAGGACTCCAACTTGCACTGTCTCCGTCTTTTTGGCATCCGATAGTTTTGGAAGTTCTTCCATTTTGAAATTTATATCCATAACCGCATTCAAGATCGCACGACGTTCCAGCATTTACTGAGCATGTTGTCCGATATGTCGGTTTCTTCAAATAGTTATTTTGTGGATCTGGTATTATGAGTGGCTCACAGGTAATACCTAGAAAAAGGAAATAGGCCTCCTTGTATTCAGTTTTATACTGTTTTGACAAACATTATTTAGTTTAGTTATGATATCATAAGAAAATTAATTCTTATATTTTAATAAATGTGAATCAACACAAATCAAACAAAATTTCACTGTGTCAATATCACTTTTGCACCGTGTTTACTCTGCACAATAAATTTTAAAATATCACTAAATATTTTGTGGGAGGTTGCTTAGTGTCTACAAATTTAAAATTGGTCATTTAGATATATATATATATATATGCTAAATACTTACGGACACATCTTGCATTGCTTAGTTAGCGAATTATTCAATTAGAAAATGATTTCTTAACGTGATAAGTGAATTGGAGTATCATTATATTCAGATATATTCAAAATTAGAGTATTAATATATAAATATTTGGTAATAGGCATGATTAGTACTCAAATGCAACCTAATAAAATGGTCGCTAAGTACTGGGTATTCAAGTCTTTGACCTTACTCTAGAAATACATATAAAAATATTACAAGCTACTGTTGACTGAAATTCAGGATTCGTTTATGTCAAAAACGTCGCTAAGATAATGTAGTTTTGATTACAAGTTTGGACATTTCCATGTTACGAGATGTTTCAAAACAAATAGCTATTATTTACGTTAGTTCTTGGAAAATGTAATTTACTTTCAATGTTTATATGTATAGTACATACAGGGTGTCTCAAAAGTAAGTATACGCTTTTAATTTTGATTTGCTTTTCAGGTACTCATCATAGAGCGTCATTTCTTCAGAAAACACAGTATGAATAAGTAGTAAAATTTAGGTATTGTTTGCATTTTATTATCAACCCACAGAATGACATGTTTTCCTCAGAGTGTCTGCTCCTTGGTCTTCTTGATCTTTGTGCATCAACTACAGATCGATTTTCATAAATTTAGGATGAATTGAACATTGCTATTTGGCAAAAAGCCTATAAATCGGTAAGGCAAACTCAGCGCCTCTTTAACAGAGAATTTGGAATTAATTGGGCTCGGAATTTTTTCCTTAGAGCGGCCGCTCCTTGGTCTTCCTGATCTTTGTGCATCAACTACAGATCCAGTTTTCATACATTTACGATGAATTACATAAATTGTTCGTCGTGTAGGAGCCAAGTTAATTCCAAATTCCTTGTTAAAGAGGCGCCGAGTTTGCCTTACTGAATTATATGCTTCTTGCCAAACAGCAATTTTTCACCTCATTCCTTGTTTAATTTTCTTGTCATTCTGTGGGTTAATAAAAAATGCAAACAATACCTAAATTTTATTACTTATCCATACTATGTTTTCTGAAGAAATGAACGCTCTATGATGAGTACCTGAAAAGCAAAATTAAAAGTGTGTACTTACTTTTGAGACACACAAATATGGATATTTTGATTCGAGCTTTGTAGCCTAACCGTATCTATCACTTCAATTTTGAAGACTTACGGACGCAATCTGTATTCCCGATTGATGACCACATAGCGGAATTCTGGGATTTTTTTCGGCTGCATGTCGCTGTTTTTGTTCTTCCTTCAAGTCTATATCCTTCTTCGCATCTCAATGTACATTCCGAACCCACTGGTTTGTTGGCACAAAGTTCAACAGAGTGGGATCCGACGTTAAATGGCAAAGTAGGACATTTAATTTCTGTAAGTAATGATAAAACACTTATAATAATATAAAATGGGAACTTTTATCATATTTTTATGAACGAAATGGCATATTTAAGCAAAAAATATATATAAAACAAAGCATGATAAAATAAAAAACATTTCTATCTTTTTCCATCATCCTATTCGGTTCTATTTTCGTCAATCGTGTTCTGTAGTTAATTTGAAAAGCTAGAAATACGAAACCATCCTTCAAAATAAAATCCTGGCTTTTCCGTCGATTCTATAACTGCATTCCTTAATTAATACTAAACTAATATTCCATCATCAACAGATTGTCAATGAAGAACCTTACCTCGACATCTGACCTTCTGTGATGTCGGATTCCAGAAAGCGGTTAATCCATCCCTGCTTGCAGTGCATTTGTACTCTGATGCTGGATATGACGAATATATTACGTTCTCAACATAAGAATTTTCGTAACATAATGCTGTACATTTAATCCCAATACTTCTTGCATTTGTAGCGCATGAATAACCTTTAACTCCGCCTATAGTTCTCGAGGGCGTTGAAAATTCACCACATTTCAATTCTGTAGATGAGTAGTTCGAATTTTAACTTGATTTGCACAAATGATGCAATTAGCGCATGCATATATTATAAATACAAATAAATTATACAAGCTGCTGTTGTTTGAAATTCCGGATTCGTTTATATCTAAGACAACTATGGATAAAATTTCACCAAGATCCTATAATGTTGAATACATGTTTGGTCATTTCCATGATACGAGCTTTTTAAAACTAATATTTATTATTCAGGCTACGTCAGTTCTTGGAAAATGTAATTTGCTTTTAA